TCAAAGCAGGAGATCCACTGACCGCCTACGAAGCTGTGAGGAAGCTTGGGAAAGACCAGCAATCACGAGGGCAGAAGGTCACATGACTATGAGGGGAGGAAGGCCACATTAGCATAGCAAAGCTTGAGGTGTGAACTAAGAGACTTAACTGTGGAGCCAGTCCCTGGCAGGTGACCTTCCTCTCAATCACAGCCTCAGTTTACCCAGCTACTGAATCATCACAAGGGGAAAAGATCTGACTCTTTTTTGTTTTGTTTTTTGTTTTGTTTTGTTTTGTTTTGTGCAAGCTAAGCAAGCTGTTCTGCAACAGCTTTACAGATATTCACAGAGGACACAACCACCCCACCACCTAGGTGCCAAGTACGGTGACTCACCTGTAGTTCCAGCACTTGGAAAGCTCCAAGTGAGCTCCAAGCCAACCTGGACAATAGCATGAGGCCCCATAAGACCTGAAGGTGCCTGAGCCCCGTGCTTGCACCCAGGTACCATGGGGACAATGCAAAGCTTGATCCTGACGGGTGCTACAGAAGCCATGGGTTTTGCATCACATGGATAAACAAAACAAAACCATGTTTTAGGAATTCAAATCTCATTTCATGAACCTCAAGCAAAGCTGTCTGCTAGTTACTCCAGAGAGAAATGCAATTGCTGGACAGAACAAGCAGCTTTGAGAGACCTGAAGGGACCTTGTCTGGAGTCTCTGGTAGCAAGGAGGCCCCATTGGAGAGCCACCTCCCATGGTGTTGTCTTCACTTATCTCGAAAGAACGTTATAACACCAGTGAGAGTCTAAGTATCAGATATGAGGGCTGTCACCGAAGAGATAAGACAAGGAAGCAATAACTAGCGGCAAAGATGGAAATTGAAGGATGTGGAGACACTTTCAATGCAAAGCGTGGAGGTGAACACTCAGGGATACACTCACAACCCTAATCATGGACCAAAGGTTCAGATCTTTAAACCCAATAATATGCCTCCAGAGAGGGAAGATATCGGCAACCAAGGAAGGAAAGGTGCAAAGAGTATGAAGACAGCTAGCACCAAAGGCTATGCAAATTGCAGTTAAGCCTGTGCAAACATCCAGCTTCTCTCAAGAGAAGAGAAAGCAAATTCAGATTGCCAGAAAATCTCACCTTTCACATGTCAGATATGGAAAGGGCTGTGCTGGGAGCGGGGAGAAGGAGAGTTACTGTTAAAGGCCAGTCTAGACTACATAACAAGACCTGGTCTTCCAAAATTTAAGAATAAAAACCAGTTAATGGTGGCACAACCTTTAATCCCAGCACTTGGGAGGCAGAGACAGGTGGATATCTGAGTTGGAGGCCAGCCTGGTCTACAGAGTAAGTTCCGAACAGCCAGAGATTCACAGAGAAACTCTGTCTCAAAAACAAACTAGCAAAAAAGACTTAGAAATAAATAAATAATAAATAAATAAATAAATAAATAGGTAAAGGAAAACAAATGTTGATAGCTTACTATTTGTTAGGGATTTGGGAACCTGGACAACACACATACCACTAATTGTGGTAAAATCAGTATAATTATATAAATAATAAGTCCCAGGGTGTATCAGACACACACACACACACACACTTAAAAAGAAAATAAATCTTCTTTTTAAACGTAATGTTTCACAATTATTTATTGTGGGGATCGCCACTGCATATGTGTGAGAGGTCAGAGAACAGCTTACAGGAGGGGGTGCTCTCCTTCCATCGTGGGGATTCTAGGGACGGAACTCGGGTTGTTAGGTTTAGCAGCAAGCGCCTTTGCCCGCTAAGACATCTCACCACCCCGACGGGTAATTTTTGATCCATCCTTTTCGAAATGACTTGGGTCCAGGGATATTCACGGCAGGGTGTTTATACCCACAAAAAGACCGGAAATGCCTGACCGACCACCCACTGTGTGCCACCCCTGTAGCCCGGTGCGCTAGGCAATCACCAATGAGCAGTGACAGCTCTCTGTGATGCCGGCAGGAAAGAAAGCTGCTCGCCGGATTCTACGAAATGAAAAAGCGAAGGGGCAGAGCAGCACGGTGTCTGCCACCCCTTTCGACATCCTTTGTTTTGTTTTATGTGTGTATTTATTTACTTTTATTGTGGAGGAGGGCGGAGGTCACCCCACCCATGCGGAGGGCAGAGAGCAGTCTGTCCTCTCCTTCCGCCGTGTAGGTCCTGAGAGCGGAACACGGATGGTCAAGCCTAGCAGCGGCATGTGCAGAGGCTGGCCCTGCCGGCCCCTGGACTTGGCTTCCGTTTGTGTGTGTTCTATCATACACATGTATGGCATCTTCGGAGGGCTTCTGAAGAAAGTGACAGCCCAGGAATGCTTCAGGAAGGGGAGCTGGGAGACTGGGTCCAAGGAAACTCTTTTGCTCTATATCCTTTGTACAATCACGTCCAGATTTGTAAAATATCTGGAACCACCATTTCAGTCACATCAGATCTTACGCTATTACTTGTTTTCCCCGACAGGCTCTGCAGCCCAGGCTAGACTTGAACTCTTGATTCTCCTGTCTCAGTCCCCTGACTTGTGGGTTGTAGGCATACACCGCTACACCAGGCCCAAATGTTCCTAGGGGCCATGAGGCTTGAGCAAGGAGCCAAGCTTGCACTCAGAAGGAGTTAATTCTCAGCCCCTCTGCTTCTAGCGGCTGCAGGGAACTCCCAGAGGGAGCAGCTCCCTGCTTTTATCAAAGCTGTGAACAGGAAGCATTGCCCATTTCTCGGGTTGGCTCCTTCCTGTGCCGGGTGGGCAGGTACTCTGGGCCAGCCCCTGCACCGGGTACAGAACACAAAGGCGAACAGGATGCAGGTCCAGGCCCCATGTGGCTCCCCACAAAGTTGGGCGGTTAGAGTTGGGAGAAAGATCTGGACAAAGATCTATAAAACTGGAGCCATGCGGCGTGGTAGTGAAGATTAATAAGTGACTGTGTGCGAAGGCGGAAGAGACCAGCTTGACCTTTGAAGTGCACACACCTGGTCTGAGGGTGGCTCATCAGCCTGGCCCGGTTGCACAATCTTACCAAGCTTCAGTTTCCGCCCCTAAAACGTACAGGTAGCGATAAAGCCAGCACGGCCCAGGTTTAGCACACAGGCCTTGGTGCCAAATCGGTCCTAGTTCAAGGAGAGTCACCGCTGACTTAAAACTGTATCCTGTGAAACCAGTACCACACACAGAGAGAGACTCCGTTTCTTCATCTCTAAAATGGGGCTAAAAATACCAACCTTCCAGTTTTTGAGGGATCCAAGCCAACAATCATGGATAAAGTGGTGCCTGGCCCACGGTCAGCCCCAGTGTTTGATAGCTGCTTCTCACAATCACTAGTTCAGGGACTGAATGCCGTGTATCCGTCATGCTAGAAGAGACAAACCAAACAGCGGAGGTGGATGTTTCCACAAAGCCAGGTGGTAGCCTGCTCTGTCTGCTCCCTGTGCAGTGGGAAGGAGGGAGGGGAAGGCAGTCTTCCTAAGGGCCGGGATGGGTATGAGGAGGGTGTTTCTGACACAGAGAAAGCTACATGAAGGAGCATGCCGTGGGGAGGATAAAAGCCCTAAGCGAATGTGCAAGGAGCAGACAGAATCCTGAGTCGATGTGAGAGAAGCCCAGTTCCCCGGACCCATGGGAAATGGTAAAGCCTTCCTCTGGTCCATGTGTGAATTTTAACAGAGTGTAAGGGAGCATGTTTCACCCCCAAGATGTCTACAGCCTGACACTGCTTACCCACAGACACTCCTGCAGAGAGTAGCTGGCTCCTCCTTCACATCCTATGCATAATAAATTCACTGACCTTCCCGGTCATTTTGTGGCTGGTGCCCTTTGTCAGAGCGAGCACAGATGGCATGAGCCTGGCTTTTTTCCGTAAACGTGTCTGTGTATCTGTCCTTTCTTCAGTCCCTTGTCACTGCTGTCAGTTCAATCCCTGAGCCTTGCAGAGTCGGGCAGCCCGGCGAGAAGGAAGAATATGGGGTGTTCAGATGCAGCTCAGAATCGGAACGTAAAACTGGGAGAGCATTAAGGGCATAAGACCGGGGAAGACTGGGGAAAGGAATGGTACAGCCTCTGAGCCCGTCAGCAGTGGTGACACCGGAAGACATTTTGGGGTGACAATGATGAGGGTCAGACTGGCCCTACTTAGTCTCTGGACAAGAAGAGACAGACATGGGAGTGGGGAGCATTGAACAATGACACCCTGAGCAGCCAACACACTAACCCCATCCGGTTTATGGCTAAAATCAAGGTGTCTTCAGAAGCTGCCCTTCGGGAGGCTGTGGGGCAGAAGGGAAACCCCAAGATTACCTTTCCAGCTTCAGAGCCCCCCCGTATTCCCCCCAGCTTGTGCTCCCTTCCTCCTTCCAAGCGTACCATCCCCCACCCCATGCCACAATCCCAGTTTCTCTTTCAAGCTGGGCATGTGGCTCATGCCTGTAATCCCAGCACACAGAAGGCTGAGGCAGGGGCATCACCCACGTGTTCCAGGCCAGTTCTGGCTACAGATGAAGACCCTGTCTCGAAAACAAACTAAAACAAGCTTCTCTGGCTCCGATACCCCCACACACACCCCCAATCCTAGCCCTCATGACACACTTGTCTGGGTCAAGGCACTGGTCATGTCACGTAGGCTTTCTGTCCCTGTTCCCCAAAGCCACACCTTCCTGCAACCACCCAGAGGAGCTGTCGTGGGCCACTTAACGTTCCTCAAGCCCCACCTCTGCTCGGCCGGCCCTGCCACCCTGCCGCCCTGCAGTGCCCTTTCAATCATCGCGCCTGTCAGCTTTGCCTGCCTCCAACGCCACCTGCAGAAGAGTCACCTTGAAGAGATGCACATGCCCTGAAAACAAGCACCCTCCGTGGCTGTTTGGGCGCAGTGTCGTGACAAGGTCTTACAAGAGGGAGACAGGACCGTCAAATCAGAGAGAAGAGACACAACTATGGAAACGGACGCAAGGTGAAGGAGGGCCCTCCAGCCAAGGAAAGAATCCCAGCCTCTCTAGAAACTGGACAAACAAGGAAGTGGCGTGTTGGATATTTATCTGGTTGCTATGACAAAGTACCTAACAGCAGAGGAAGCATCTGTGTTGGCTCTGAGGGGACAGGTCTGAGGGGACAGTCCCCCGGAGGAGGAAAGGCATGGTGACAGGATCGTCAGGCAGACGGTCACACTGCAGCCACAGACAGGAAGCAGAGAGCCGTGGGCTGGTGCTCAGCTCAATGGCTGTGGACTGTCCACTAGACAAGACCGCTCAGACACGGGCTTAAGCCAACAGAAAGCCTTTATCAGTGACGGCACTGGCTGTTAGGATCCTGCTGGCGCTCTGAGCCTTTCTCAGGGTGAGCTTTACAAAACACGATGTCCAGGGTTGATATGCTCCAGTTAACAAGAACAGCTCGTCAGAAGCAGACCTGCAGAAGCCAAAAAGCAAAGTTAGTACATTTAGAGACTTTCCCAGAACTGTAGACAATGGTGAATTGGGTCTTTGTTTTTATTTTGGCTGGTGGTACCGTGTGCTAAGTTTTATGACCTGAAATAGTACTTTCATCATGGAGTTAACTGTGCTAAGTAAGGTCTGGGGGCCTGTTACATGATGTCTTTTTTTCTTTTTCTTTTTCTTTTTTTTTTTCTTCAGTCCTGGACCCCATCCTACCAGATAGTGCTACCCTTGTTCAGGCTGGGTCTTCTCACCTCTCACCTCTCTGGAAATAAGACACGCCCAAAGCCTGGCCTCCTGGTCGATTTTAAATCCAGCCAAGTTGACAGTTCAGAATCAACATCAAAGCCAGGTGTGGTGGTGCACGCCTTTAATGCCGGCACTCAGGAGGCAGGAGTTCGAGGTCAGCCTGGTCTACAAATCGAGTCCAGGAGAGCCAGGGCTCTGTTACACAGAAAAACCCTGTCTGGAAAACAAACAGATAAACAAAAAAAAGATTAGCCATCAAGATGAATTCTCAGCCCTCCCCACCTGAGCCTCCAGAAGGAAGGCGTTTCTTACCCAAGCTCTCATTTAAGCCAGACAACTCATTTTAGACGTGTGTGCCCAGAACTGCGAGACAGCAAATTTGAAACAGGCATGGGGGGCACATCTGCAACCCCAGCACTCAGAAGGCTGATCTGAGGCAGGGGGATCCTGGATTTGATGGCAATCTGGGACACTAGAGAAACCCACCTCAAAAACAAGAGTTTGTCTTGGTTTGTGGTAACTTGTTCCCAGCAGCCTCTTCTCCCACATAACCCCCTGCCCAGGCCCCAGGTTCTCTCCCCCCTCTGAACCCCTACCTGAGCTTCCCTTGGGCATTGCTCATTCCCTAGCCTGGTCTCCATCTCTGCACAGGACGTGCTTTGTCCACGCCCACGCAAGAGCTACCCCTGAGCCTAGAACCAATGGGACCAGGTGTGTCTGAAAGTCTACAGGAAGCCTGATACACATGTGGCCTGTACCTTAGCTGGGGGAGGGGCAGCTGTGAGCCTCCCCCTCCATATCCAGCTCACAGGAAGGAAGCCTTGATGACCAGGGATGGGGGGGAAGAACGGGAAGAAGAGAGCAGCCAGCCCTCATCTCACATCCCCACACGCCCTCACACATTTGAGATTTCTCCCAACATTTCTCCTTCACCCCACTCCCACCCTAGGGGTTAAACAGGGTAGGGCAAGGTCGGGCCAGTGGGTGTGGCTGGCAGGGTGCCATGTGTTTCCCAGAGCAGCCTCCCCACCTAGTTTGTCTGCACCAGGTACGGCCAGGCCTTCTCACTCCTTCCGCATCCCATCAAGCTGAGATTGGGGGGAGGGAGGGAGCATGACTCAGCCCACACCCCCTCCTACCTGCCCTTGCCCTGCCCTGCCAGGCCCCAGCCCCTGTCAGCTCCATCCCTGCACTGCACTGCACTGGTTCCTGGCCATCTTGAGTGTCCTAGCAAGGGCCCAGTCCCACTCCCAGCACTCCAGGACACCACCTCCCGGCACCTCTCCACCTGCCTCGGGGAGTAACAGCATGTTCCGACTGTCCCAGCCCAATCTCTGGGGATGAGCCCACATGTAAAAAAAAACAAACTAGCTACCCTGACCCCCCCCCCACACACACACACACACAGACACACTCACTGTTTCTTTACAGCCACAATGTACATGCCTTCCAACAGCCTTCCAAGGGAAACGGCCACCTCCCATTTCACAGATAAGGAAACATAGCCTCGTGCGTTTGTAGCCCCGACTCTTCAGAGCCTCTGCTTTCTACCACCTTCACATACGCCCTAAACCAGCTCAGGAGACCCGTGAGGGGAAAGACGACGTTTAGAGTCCAAAGCCCTGCGGTTTAGGCTGTGCCATCTACCAGAAGCCCGGCCTTGGGACGTGTGTTTGGAGGGGATATCCACTTTGGAGGTCAGCTTCAGCCACGGTCAGCTGCGGGCTTTCCCATGGGCTAACTGCCTAGACCCACCACCCTACAAGCCCCTAGGGCAAACTGCGATCCCCTCTGAGCCGCCAACGCCAGGAAAGGGGAGCAGAACCGGATCTTTGTTGCTGTGCAGACTGAGAAACATTTGCAGAGAGGTCGGGAGCCTTGCGCAAGTGCGGCCAGCTGATAAAACACCTGCCCTTTGTCCTGGGGCTGCTTCCTTGTGCTTGGCAGGTGCTGCCCCAGCTGAAACAACGCAGCTCCACAGCACCCCCTGGAGGCCAAAGGAGACTTGACACTCTGCAGCCTGGCAAGCTTTTTCCTCCCCCAGCTCCTTTTCCCGTCCTGCTGACCCAGCCTTATGCTGACCAGAGGACTCATGAGAACAAGCCTGTCAGGGCACAGCAGAACCCACACTCCAGATCGCTCCCTGGCCTTCCTACAGCAGCAAAGAGGATTGAGATGAGTTGATGGTGTTACAGGAGGAAGAACCCAGTAGGGCCAGAAGTCCAAAGTTCCATCGGTGCTTATGTTCCCCCTCAGCTTATGTCTTTTCTTCTCTGGTCAACATAAGTACGGAGGAGGTTCTGTCTTCCAGAAAGAGCCCTTCCCGTCCAGCTGTAAAAATTAGTTTATCTGACAATTTCCTGATGCGTAATGTGTCCACGAGGGGGCGCTGCAGCCATAGCTGTGAGGCAGCTAGCAAAGCAGCAGGTTCCCACCAGCTTCTGGCCTACCCCAGGTAGCTGCCTCAAGGTCGCCAAGCTTCAAACTCTCCAAGCCTCAGCTTCTCCCTGGAGGATCTGATGGGATGGGAGAGGCAGCCATTCTGCAACAGGAGTTAGCTCTGGTTTAGGGACCTCCACCGAACACAGCCATTTTTCGGTGTCACAGTACTCAGACAGGAAACGTGGGCATGAGCAGGAAGGCCTCAGGACTCTGAGACCTGAGTCTGACGTTACCAGCCACAGCCTGAAGGCAGGGAACTCCCGAGCCCACAGCTCCAATGTGGTTTGTGGTGACCATTCACCCTCTTGTCTCACCCTCTTGGTGCATCGAGCCTCCTTTCTGCTTCCCTGGCCCTTTCACTTTTCTCCCTCCTTACCTGCCTCTCAAGCCCCTTCCCATGGCCTTCCCCCAAGTCTAGATTGGTGACCCTGTTCCATGCTCCCTAACCTGAATATCTTTCCCATCACAGCTGGTGGCTCACCGGACATGATTCCTAAGTCACCTGCAGGTGGCATGGGGTGCTCATGAGAACGGGGACTGTGTGCTCTCTGAGTATTTGTTGAACACATGAGTCGCCTGGAAAGGCATGGTACAGATGACAGGGTATACTTCCGGGAGCCGTGACTCTTAAACCACCCTCTTCTTCCGGTCCCCTTAGCTCTGTCAACTTGACTCTATCTCATGCATTTAATGGGCTCTGTTTCTTGTTTGTTCCCATAGTCCTCCTGGGTTTGCCAAACCTTTCCCTTGAAAATTCCAGAGTAGCTTAGGTGCCACCAAGAACAGAAATGAATGAAGTAAAGAGAGCCCAGGAGCTGTCGAGGAAGATTCATTTCATTTGCATTTAGAAGGCAGAGAAGGAACAGCTTTCCTCTGGACTGAGGGCTGCAGGGGGGCAAGATAGGGTGTGACACATAGAGGAGGAGATAGCTTGGGGAAACTGGGGATTTTTTATGTTGGTTTTAAGGCTGGTTGAGTTTCAGCTGGCTCATACCTTTAATTCCAGCACTCCGGAGGCAGAAGCAAGTAGATCTTTGAGTAGGCCAGTCTGGTCTACAGAGTGAGCCAGGGCTATATCGCTGAGCCACTTTCACTTGAGATTTAAAGGTCAAGGTTAGGTCTTCACAGCTCTGGGAGGGGCCCCCTCTAAATGTTGAGGTGCTTGGCCAGGTGAGGTGTTGCAAAGCCACTGGAGTTAATCATCCTCAGCCTCTAGTCTAGGTCCTTCTTGTGTTGAGGGACTAGTAGTTAGATTTCCTGATAGACAGACAGACAAGGAGAGAAGCTATGGCTAGGCAATAAAGCTGGTGACCTTCCAAGGCGGCTGACATCCTTTCACACCCTCCTGTCTATAAGTGAGGACACAGTAAAGAAAATACAGAAATAGCTGCTCCGTGATGTGGAGTGGGGGTGGGGTGGAGGTTTTCATTGTAGATGAGAAAGAGAGAGCAGGCAGGGGCATCTGGAAGACTCCAAACCAGAAAGAAAAAGAAACAGACTGGATCTAGCCAGGGCCATCTAACAGAGAAGAGAGAAACGTAGGGGCAGAAGAGAAGCCTTGAGGTTATATAGAAACTGGGTATCTGGAAGGAAGGAAACCTGGGGGAGGTTTAGGGAAGATGAGAAGGGCCTAACGTAGAAATGTAAGGAGCCTGGAGGCCAGCACAGGCTTTGAGATGCAACAACAGGTACCTGTCAATGGCGGGCAGGAGCCTGTTTCACACAGTCCTGTGGAATGCCGGACATTTTTCTAACCACCAGAAATCCTTCTACAGTCCAGCTTGAGTTTAGCCATGGGCCTGGACCTTTAGGGGTGTTCTGACCAAACACAGTCCTGAAACAAAAGCTTGGAAGCTTAAAACAAAGATTTGTGGCCTTTCTCTCCTGCCAGCGGGCCCCTGGACTGGTTCAACAGGTTCACACCCAATCAGGAGAACAGTTGTGAGCCAATCAGTCTTTCTGCCAAATGACCAACTCTAAATTAGGGAGGAAAACTCTTCAAAGACTTTAAAATCTCCAACCCTCCAGGAGAAACTGGGCTTTGCTGTCCAAGTCTGTGTCATCTTTGTTGTCATTTTCATTGTGTGATCCATGTCCTTCATTCCCCCACACCCATTTATTTTTCTATGTTTTTTTTTTTTTTGGGGGGGGGGGGTTCCTCACTCCTAGTAAAAGCCTTTCTTTATTCTTTTTTTTTTCTTTTTTCTTTTTTGAGAGAGCGTTTCTCTATGTAACCCTGGCTGTACTGGAACTCACTTTGTAGACCAGGCTGGACTTGACCTCACAGAGATCCACCGCCTGATATCAAAGATATATGCTACCACACCCAGCATAAAAGCCTTTCTTGATCAGTTGATTCTGTCTGTTCCTGTTTTCTGTGTTAGTGAATTTCCCTGCTGCTACTTGCCAATTTTCCTGCCTTTTATTTCTTTAACTGATAGAGAAAACAAACTGGATCAAAGCCACTAGACAGTAATGAATGAAAAAGAAAGAAAGGAGGAAGAGAGGGAGGGAGAGATAAAAGAAAGAAGGAAAAGAAGGAGGGAGGGAAGGAAGGAGGGAAGGAGAGAGAGAGAGAGGGAGGGAGGGAGGGAGGGAGGGAGGGAGGGAGGGAGGGAG